TATGTGGTGCTGAGGATCGAACCCGGGCCACACGCATGCCAGGCGAGCGCGCTACCGCTTGAGCCACATCCCCAGCCCTAGTGCTTCGCTTTTGCTGAGGCTGCCTTTGAACTCACGATTCTCCTGCCTCAGCTTCCCTACCCACTGGGTTTACAGGCTTCCATCACTGCACCCGTCCAACATTCCATATTTAAAAAAATAATTTTTCTTTCTTCAAATATAGCTCTTCTAGTCTTATTGTTGTTTCAATTTCCTGGTTAATCTAAACCATGCTTCCTCCCACCAACTACTTACACTTTCTCTAATATGTCATCATCTTAAACTCCATGTTATATATACTTTGTGAAATACATATCTAAATTAACACATAAATAAGATCTAAATTTTAGCCAGCCATCACTTTTTTATTATTTCTCCTCCAGATAATAAGAACTAGAGCCTGGTGCATTGGTGCACACCTGTAAACCCAGCAGCTCAGGAGGCTGAAGCAGGAGGATTACAAGTTCAAAGCCAGCCTCAGCAAAAGCAAGGCACTAAGCAACTCTGTGAGACCCTGTCTCTAAATAATTACAAAATAGGGCCAGGGATGTGGCTCAGTGGTCAAGTGCTCTGAGTTCAATCCCCAGTACCTCTCCTCCCCCAAAAATAATAATAAGGATTATCTTCCTCTCACTTAAGCACAGTTTCTGTCTTTTGCTGATCATGTATTATAATTCCTTCACTTTTTTAAAAAAAATATATCTTTATTTTTTATTTTAATGTGGTGCTGAGGATCAAACCCAGTGCCTCACCCATGCCAGGCAAGCTCTCTACCTCCGAGCCACAACCCCAGCCCCATCCTTTACTTTTTAATAAATGGTACCTTGAAAATATTATGTTTAAATAATTTTTCTTGTATTTTTTTCTTTCTTCTTTTAAACTCTCCTCCTTCTTTTTGAAACAGGGTCTCATGATGTTGCCCAGGCTGGTCTGGAACTCTGCAACTCCTGAGCTAAAATAATCCTCTTGCCTCAACCTCCCAAGTAGCTGGGACTATAAGTATGTACCCACCATGCCCAACTTCCAGTAGTTCATGACGCAGATATGTTTGAGAGAGGAGGGAACCTTCTAAGTGTCCCAGAAGTTAAACAATAAAATATTTATAAATGAAACAAAAAAAAGTACAATCAAAAAGTATGTATTTGGCATTGTGGCACAACCCTGTCATCTCAGCAACTCCAGAGGCTGAGGCAAGAGGATCACAAGTTTGAGGCCAGCCTTAGGAACTTAGAAAGACAATTTCTCAAAATAAAAAATAAAAAGGGATAGGGATGTGGCTCAGTGGTTAAGTGTCTCTGGGTTTAATCCTCAGTACAAAACAAAAAAAGATTTAAAAAATGTGATACTTTTGGGCTGGAGTTATGGTTCAGTGGCAGAATGCTTGCCTAGCACATGTGAGGCACTGGGTTCGGTCTTCAGCATCACATAAAAATAAATAAATAAAATAAAGACATTGTGTCTATCTACAACTAAAAATTATTTTTAAAATGTGATATTTTCAAGTGTACATCTTTAGAAATAACTTACTATATAACCTAGTGTTTCAATTTCATTAAAAAAAAAGAGTGATGGGTAAAAATTTAACAAAGAATATGGGGAAAAACTTTCAAAATAATGTGCTTCCAACATAAAGAATACTAAAATTATTTAAAGTTATGGGCAGTTTCTCCCAAATAAATCCAAACCCACATATGATAAAGTGATAGTGTGTGCACATACACAGGCACCTATATAGAAAAATATACACATAAAATTATATACTCATATTTAGCTATAGATAACTTGCTAGATAAACAATATAAGTAGGGAAAATAATTTAAATTAAAATATTCACATTAACCTGTGACAGTAGAAAAGATTTTGCATTTTTGTAAAAGACTTTTGAGATCATAACCAACAGGAAAAAGAAGAAATGACAAGTAGAGGGATTCAGATGAAACTAGAAGCAGTACCTTCAAGTCTGATAACAGGAAAAATAATCTCTAAGCCTTTTTATAAGTCTTTGGTGAGAAGCAGAACAAAAACTTAGTTCAAATTCTCCTGGGCTGAGGTCGTAGTTCAGTAGTAGAATGAGTAGTTACAGTGCACAAGTCCCTGGGTTCCATCCCAGCACCATCAAAAATAAGTAAATAAATAAACAAAGAAACAAATAAAATTCAATTAAGAAGAAAAATTCTGATTTCTTAGTCCAAATTATACACATTAAAAATGCTCAAAATTGCTCAAGAGTTTGGGACCACGTAGCAAAATCCTATCAAATTCTATAAGTCTCAGATTGGGGTTGTGGCTCAGTGGTAGAGCACTCACCTAGCATGTTTGAAGCCCTGAGTTTGATCCTCAGCACCACATAAAAATAAATAAAATAATGGTATTGTGTCCAACTGTAACTAAAAAAAATAAAATATGTTAAAAAATTCTATAAGTCTCAAAATTATATAAGAAATTCTTTTTCTCATTAAATATGAATAAGTAATGTCTTTCATTGGAGGTAGTTTTTCAGGGAAAGGAAAACAGTGTTCTCACCATTATCACAGAGTGATAGTAATAATTGACTTTAAGTCAGAGAACAAGAGTAGCCATCAGTCTTCATTCCTGTCTCCTACAGCTTCTTTGTGAAGTGCTCTAAAAAACATCTATATGAAATGTGAATCAATTCTAAATAGAAAAATTTTAATCTATCTTATTTTAAAAAATAAGATCAACACTCATGAGGGTTCCAAGAAGAGTACCAGATTGGAGGTTCAGGTCTGTAACTAAAACTCGTGGGCACAAAGACACAATCCTTTTCATAAATAGCAGCCGATGTAACAGTTGTTTTGTTTTCTCTTTCTCTCCAAGACTAATTAGCATTATACACAGTATGTTCCTTGTTACAAATGTCTTCTTTCAGGTTTGGAACTATAGTATCTTTGATTACTCAAAACTCTGATTTAGTTTTTCAGTTATACAGAAGCCAAACACTCTTTATAAAACACTTCAGACTAAATTAAAAAATGGGGTTTTATAGAAACAACTACTACAAATGGATGCTACATATATACTATCTTTGCTCTGTTAATCATAACACTTTAATGAAAAACTGTAAAAGAGTATTTTTTTTTAATATACTTACTGCTGAAAGGCTTCCATTGTATTCTCCAAATTTTCTCCAGCACCTGTGGAGACATTAAATTCAAACTTCATTTAATTAGCTATTTTAAACATTTTATTTTTCTAGAAATTTTAGTATAATGAATCCTGATGCTTATTTATTATGTAGATATTATAGTACATGTGTTTTTTAAAGAGCGCACAGTATTTTGATTCTTTAAAATTTGTTTTTGTTTAGATACACCAGTAGGAATCAAAGACCAAAAGTAGTAGAGCCATTGCCTAGCATGCTGGAGGTCCTGGATTCAATCCTAAGTACTAGGAAAAAGAAAAGAAAAGAAAAGAAAATCAAAATAGCCACAGAAATTCAGGAGGGCTAGAAGAACCTAAAGGTGATGTTTAAGCTCTTGTTGGTTAAATTTTCTCTATATATCCTCATAATCTCTTATGAACATCTCTACCAAGGCATTTATCACAGTGTAGCAAAAATTGTTTGTCTCTCCCCTCCTTATCTCATGAATTACCAAAAAGAAGTGACTTAATCACCTTGGCAGAAGGCAATATAGTGTAACAGCTGAGGATGAAACTGTAGAGTTAGGATGCCTTATCTCAAATTTTTTAATATTTGGATGACTTTAGGAAAGTCACCTCACCTCTCCATGGTTGAACTTGCTTCTTTATTAGAATGATAATAATAGTCCTACCTCATTGGATTGGTATAATTAAATGAGTTAACATGCAAAGTGCAATATGATAGCTTTTCACTTTTGAACATTTCTGAAGTTGGAGTACATCTGTCAATGGATGGTGTCTTAACAGTTTAATTGGAAAGCTTTTCTCTTAACAGTACATAAAAAAAAAAGTGTCTTAAAATCAATGGCATTAAATTCAGTGAAACACTGTAGTGAGCATTCAGTGAAACTGAAGAATTATTGCTATTACAATTGCCATTATCATAGAGTAACTGCTAAAGAGTAGGTACTTGGTGTATGTCCATTAATGGGAAGAGTGGATAATAGTCAATGACAAAAAGGACATATTTTGATATGAATATACAGAAAGAAAAAATTATCCAATGTTATATACTAGGTAAAGAATCAATTAGTGATACACATGCTAGCCAAAACACGGTGGTGCTGGAGATTGAACCCAGGGCCTTGTACATGCAAGGAAAGCACTCTACCAACTGAGCTATATCCCCAGCCCACTTTTTATATATTTTTAAACTAAAAGATTTCAGTACTGGGCTGAGGTTGTAGCTCAGTGATAGAGCATTTGCCTCGAATGAATGAGGCACTGGGTTCAATCCTCAGCACCACACAAAAATAAATATGTAAAATAAAGATATTGTGCCCATCTACAGTTAAAAAAATATTTTTAAAAATTCAGTACTGGGCTGGGGATGTGGCTCAAGCGGTAGCGCGCTCGCCTGGCATGCGTGCGGCCCAGGTTAGATCCTCAGCACCACATACAAACAAAGATGTTGTGTCTGCTGAAAACTAAAAAATAAATATTAAAAAGTTCTTTCTCTCTTAAAAAAAAAAAAACAGGAAAATAAAAATGGCTGGTGATGTGATTCAGTGATTAAGCACACTGGGTTCAATCCCAGGTAACAAACAAACAAAAACCAGTTATTTTCTTTTCTCCTACCTCAGCCTTCTGAGTAGCTGGGATTATAGAAAAGCACCACCTGTCTAGCTTCTTCTTTTTTTTTTTTGTTTCAGGGGACTAAAACCAGGGGCACATAACCACTGAGCCACATCCCCAGCCCTTTTCTGTATTTTATTTAGAGACAGGGTCTCACTGAGTTACTTAGGGCTTCGCTAAATTGCTGAGGTTGGCTTTGAACTTGCCATACTTCTGCCTCAGCCTCTGGAGCCCCTATGATTACAAAGGAGCACCATCATGCCTGGCCTGCCTGGCTTCTTAACAGGAAGAGTCAATTCAAGTTCAGGATATAGTTTAAGTATTAACATTTAAATGTTTTTTAAACAAAATGAGGACCAGTAGTGCATGCCTGTATTCCCAGACTCTTGGGAGGCTGAGCAGGAGGATCTTGAAATCCAGGCCAACCTTGGCAATGGGCTGGGGCTGTAGATCAGTGACAGGGCACTTGCCTGTCACATGTGAGGCACTGAGTTCCATCCTTAGCACAACATAAAATAAAGACATGCTGTCCATCTACAATTAAATTTAAAAAAAAGATGTTTTATTAAAAAAATACCATTTGAACATATCCATGAGAATGTTAAAATTTCCTTGTTATATTGTTAGGTTGTAGTTTCATGACAACCTAATTAATAATCAACAGAAACAAATTGTTCTAAAATTCCATTAGTTTTGTAGAAAGGGATACCTATGTAAAAAAAGCTAGTTTGATTTGGGTTCACTTTTCATTACTAAAGCATAATAGAAAACAGTTTCATGTGGAGCTTATAGTTTTTTTGAAAAGAAAGTGCCCTTCTGAGGTTAGTTAACTCTTGGTTAGGTGAGGTTAAATGACCTTGTTTCATTTCATTTTTCATGGTTCTAGGGATTGAGCCCAGGGGCACTCTACCACTGAGCTATATCCCCAGCGCTTATTTTTATTTTATTTTGAGACAGTGTCGCATTATGTTGTCCAGGCTGGCCTGGAATTTGTTATCCTCTTGCCTCAAGTTGCTGGGGTTATAGTCATGTACCACCATGTCTGGCTCATCTCCCAATCTTTCTTAACCTTAATTTGAGATCTAGTTCACTTTTCTTCTATGAAGCACTTTCTTATCACATGATTCTTATTAAGCACTCTCTTATCACATCAGAATACATGATTCTTATGAAGCACTTTCTTATCACATCAGATTACAATGAGTCTTATTATATTTGAGTTAATGTTTTAACCAAGCATGTGTGTAATCCCAGATACTAGGGAGGCTGAGGCAGGAGGATCACAAGTTGCAGGTCAGCTTTGGCAAGTTGGAGACCAGCCTGGGCAATTTAGCAAAACCCTGTCTCAAAATAAAAAGGCTAAGGAAATACACCTCAGTGGTAAAGCACCCCTGAGTTCAATCCTCAGTACAGAGAGAGAGAGAGAGAGAGAGAGAACACTTTGGTCACTTGGCCCCTTTATACTCTTAAAAATTACTGAATGCAGCTGGGCGAGGTGGCACAGATCTGTAATCCCAGCAACTCAGGAGGATGAGGCAGGAGGATCTCGAGTTCAAAGACAGCCTCAGCAAAAGCAAAGTCCTAAGCAACTCAGTGACATCGTGTCTCTAAATAAAATATGAAATAGGCTGGGGATGCGGCTCAGTGGTCGAGTGCCCCTGAGTACCACTACCATCCCAAAATTACTGAGTACACTCTTAAAACTTATTGAGTACCCTAATTAAATGGGTTATATCCATTATTAACTGTGTATTAGAAGTTAAATCCTACAAATTTATTTTTCTTTATTTGAAAATAACAACAAACCCAACACTTTTCAATCTTTTCCTGTGCCATGGATTGAACCCAGAGTCTGGCACATGTGAGGCAAGCCAAGTGCTCTACCACTGAGCTACAATCCCAACCCAATCCATTACTTTTTTAAATATACTTTTAGTTGTAGTTGGACATAATACCTTTATTTATTTTTATACGGTGCTGAGGATAAAACCCAGCGCCTCACATGTGCTACTTGGGTGCTCTACTACTAAGCCACAACCCCAGCTCATAAAGTCAACTTTTTTGGTGGTGGTGGTGCTGGGGATTGAACCCAGGGCCTTGTGCATGCAAGGCAAGCACTCTACCAACTGTGCTATATCCCCAACCCCTCAATCCATTACATTTTAACATGAAATTTTTATGAAAAATATATACTTTTCCAAAAACAAAAAAAAATTAATTAAGAGTGTCATTGTTGGGGTGGGGTTGTAACTCAGTGGTATAATGCTGGCCTAGCATGAGTGAGGCACTGGGTTTGATTCTCAGCACACATAAAAACAAACAAACAAAATAAAAAATCTTTAAAAAAAGTGTTTCTGCTACACATTTTTTTGCAAATCTCTTTAATATCTAGCTTAACAAAAAGCAGCTAAATTCTCATACCTGCTTTATAAGTACACAGATAAGTAGTTGGAAAAGGAAAAATCTTTTTTGGCAATGTATCAAGGGGCTGCAGGGGTAGTTCAATGGTAAAACACTTGTCTAGCATGCATGAGAGCCTGTTTTCCATTCCCAGCACCAATGGAAGAAAAGAACAACAACAACAAAAAATACTGCCTCAAAATTCAACTGGTATTCATTTCTACAAAGTAAGTTGCACTGTAGAATCTGAACCGCATCAGTGACCTCTTCCTACTCTGTTACATGAAATCCCACTGGTCCATCTTTAACTATGAATGGACCTTTCACACTTAAGATTTTATAACATTAAGCACTGGTCATACAGAAAATATTGATTCACTGAATTATGTGATATTTTAAAAATCACATTTGTTAACATTTGATTTCATCAGAAAAGTCTTTAAGAAGTGGAAAGCTATCAAGTTCATGGTGGAAGATATTTTCTAAAATTCTAATTTTTGGCAAGGTGTGGTGTCATATGCCTGTAATCACAGCTATTCAGGAAGCTGAGACAGGAGGATCACAAGTTGGAGGTCAACCAGGACAACACGATGAGACCCTGTCTCAAAATGGGGGTGTCACTTAGTAGTAGAGTATCCTGGTTCAATCCTCAGTATCAGAAAAACAAAATGAAAAGAAAAAAAATTCTAATTTTTTTCTTGAAAACTCAAATTTAATTATTGTGCTACATCAGTTAGATTACTTTTATTAAAGTACAGACTCACTTTATTCATTTTCAAGAATATCTCTGCCAAACATTCAAGTCTGAATAAGTACAGTTGTTACTCATTCTTTAAAGTAAAAATATTGTTCTGGGGGGCAGGAGAAACAGTTGATTTAGCTCACAACTCAAATGACTGCACAGTTTTTTTTCCCTCAAAACAAACATCATGCAGCTGGGGTGGTGGCTCAGTGGTAGAGTGCTCACCTAGCATGCATGAGGCACTGGGTTCAATCCTCAGCACCACATAAAAACAAA